CCCCCACTAAAGACACTAAGCGATAGCTTCGGTCAGGTTCCAGGCAGGGACACACTTGAGTTCTTTGGACAGAGTCACTTAGGTTGATTGAACTGACACATTGGCTTTCCCTGGGAGAGCGCCCTTGGTGCATCTTAACAGCCTTATGCAACATTTCCCAGACTTGCCTGAACCTACACACCACTTCCAAGTTGCTTATTAAAATAGGGCTCTTCAGTCTAGCTATCCGAGATTCGGGGTTGGGAGGTGGGGATTTGGAAAAGACTGCCTTAGGCAGAGGAGCACTGTTAATCTTTAGTAGCTCCAGCCATATGATCAGTCATACCTTTTAGATTCAGCTAATTTCTGCTTGGCTCTTCAGAAAGCTGATAAAAACTTTGATATCATGCTAGAGAGAATGAATGGCCTTCAGTGCAAGGGTAGATCTGTTCTTTTAAAGATACATGTGCCATACTTTTAGATATGCGCACATGAAGTCTACATCCTACCACACCTGGTTCGGAATTGTTCTTTTATACCAAATCATTCCCCGTGTGCTGATTTTAAAATGTAGTCTTGCTCTTCTGTAGTTTTGGGGGGAAGTTTTTTCCCTCCTGAGAACAGAACATTAAGAAGAGAGGACACATCACTGCTTTCTGGGGATTATTCTCTCATTTCCTGAGTCATAGCAATACCCTCTGACCTGCGGTACTGTGGCTCCTGAAGGTTGGAGCGTTGTTATTGCATGGGGCTAGGGAATCCACGTGCCCGGGTAACCTTTTCTCAAAGGACACTCAAGGTATAAATGCTTCGAGGTGAGGTTTGGGGGGATAACAACTTTTTAAAAGAGGGTCTTAAAACTTGAAGACAGTCTCATATCACAATAGTGATACAACATGAAGTTGTCTTTGGTTGTGTTCTAGTTGTGCCCAGACTGAGCCCTAGTCTGTTCCTCGCTCTCTATTCATTGTCATTCCCGTTTATCCATGTCTTCTGTCACCCTCCTAGAGTACACTCTGGCTTTCAATTCCTCATGATTGGTTTAAGGTATATTTGCTTCTCTCTCTCTCTCCTTCCCCCTCCCCCCTTTTAGACCACCTCCAGCTTTAACTATAACCAAGTGCTCGTGAAATTCATGACATTTAGAAGCTGGAAAGAGAAAATGGCAAGTGATAGGGTGGGACACTGGTCTAGAGGCCATTTACCTAAATTTCTGGGTGTACGTGAAAGCTTGCAAAGTGCTGTTTTCTCACTGAGCACATTGTTTACGCCCATGTACATGAACATAAATATACACAGTAGTAACTGAGGCTTCACTTTCTTTCAGTCCCATTCTAGTACTCATCTAGTATTCACCTCCCTACGTTCTTTCCCAGGCTATTTGGGTACTTGGTTCACCCCTAACGAATGTACGTGTACTTGTGTTCCGCTAAGGGTGGCTAAAACCAACTAACAAACTCGAAATGCTTGAAGTAAAACAAATACTCTTTTGATAAAGCCATATATTCAGAATATTGGGATTGCAGAGATCATGTAGGAAACCTCCTAGGTGAGTGTCATTGTGGTTAGCCGACCAGCTAGATAAACCCAGAACAGAATCAGATCACTTCACTTACCAGCTGTTTCTCCTGAAAGGACTCCAGTTTATTTGTATAATGGAATTATTCACCATGTCTGTATGGGATTCTAATTTGTTTGAATATAATGGAATGATTTAAGAATTAGTTGCTAGAAATAATTCTAGTCTGAAAAATGTAGAGATGTGCTGTAAATATGCCCCTCTATGTATAGTAACTTTGCAAATAAAAAAGAGTACAGTACTTTGCTTTTGTATAGTAGTTGAATGTCCTAAATTTTGTTGGTAGGTGGTTCTTATTTTGGTGATTGTCTTGCTTAAAGTGTGCAGAAGTATATTTTATGTCGGAGTAAAAATAGGTTAGAATTCTGTTCTTAATCTTTATCATACATATGGCCTAGTCAGGTTCTTGTGGAGCGGGAGTGTACTTGTACCCGGGCTTATTCATGGGCTCCAGCTCAAATAGGTTTGGTTCCCTGCCCTCTCTCTGCTGTGGTCTTTGCTGTTGGAGAGGATCTGAGACTATCAGGGACACTTACTATGAGATCATCTAAAAGTATCAGAGTATCTGAAATACATAACAAAATTGCTTATTAATAATCACGAAGTGTTTACTGGGTGTTTAATATGTTTAAGCTAGATGCAGTAACTACAGCAAACAACGTGAGTTTTGCTTGAAAATAAAATGTTTTTTCATGTAATTAGGACTTCATAAAAGTAAACGTTGTGGCTTTTTATTATTATTAAATAAGCATTAGTTACTTTTTTTTTCCTTCCAGAGAAAGAAAAAGAATTTGATAAAAAGAAAAATTTGCCTCCCTTTTGATGAAGTAATTCAGTGAACCTTTTATTTATGTATTGTAACCATATGTATTCAGCCAGAAGTTTTTCTTCTCTTTGCTCCTTCATACAACTAAACAGCTTTGGGCAGAAGCATGCAACCTTTTTGCTATTAAGTTTCTCTGAAGTAAGGCCAGAAAGCTTTAAAAATATTTTGACCAAGATGGTTTAGGAGTGTGGTTATGTCTCAATTTGTTCTGACTGACTTGATGGAATAACATCTTGGATTGTCAGACAAGTGATGTAATGAGTATCCTCTCATTCTACAGGATATTCTTAGGCTAACCATATATTTCCCACCTAGCATGGTAGAGAGAGCCCCCCAATTGAGGAATGGTTTCCCCGCTCAGAAACTGGTCTCCTTGTCCTGTGCTTTTGCTGGGATATGTTACATTCTTGTCCTTTTTCTTTCTTCTCTTTCTTCTGAGGAAGTTTGGATTTGCTACTTCTTTCTTTCTCTTTTTTTTAAAAAAATTTCAGTTTTAAAAATTAACTTTGTAAAAGCTTGAAACAATTTCAAACTTACAGAAAAGTTGCAAGTACAGTACAGCTATCTTTTTTATTTTGAAGTGTTGGAAACTAAATTGCCAGCATGGTGCATAACCATCCTCAAATAATTTACAAGGACATTCTCTTACATAACCATAGCATGTGTATTAACACCAGAAAACCAACCTTGCCATATTGTTACTACCTACTCCTCATGAGACAGGGCTGTGAAAAATAGTCAGCTGGCAAGGAAATAAAATTTGACTATGTTATGCAAAAACAGTTACTATTTAGAGAAGGTCTAAATGTATATCAGAAAAAAAAATTTGCTATAAACTGAATGACAGATTAAGAGACAGGTGAAGATGATTATGATAATAGAGCTGCTGTCCATGTGTTTGCTTAGGAACTCCAGAATATGTCTGCATTCACTTAGATGCTGAATATGTGAGTTCTTTTGATGGCTGACCACTTGACCATTGGGTAGGGTAGCCTTTGACTTTGCAGTTGGCCATGGTACCTTTTCTCAGAGTCAGCCCTCTTGGTCATATTGGTCTGCTTCCTGATGTAGCTTCCAGATGTTCAGTTATTCAGTATCCCTGTAGGTCAAGCATGTCAAACTTGTGGCCCACAGGCCTCATGCGGCCCACAACGAATATTTTTGCAGCCCAGCCAATATAATGGTATGTAAGAAACATTTTAATAAAAATTTCGTAACTTAATTTTTACAATATCCTGTTATACATAATTATTAGTAACGAACTACAATGTTCACTAATGACTGATTACTGTAATCATGTTGCATTCATTTCCCTTACGTGCAGGCGCACCATTTCTCTCCATTAATACTAGAAGCGAATATTTTAGCAGTCGATTGCCACGTTATTGGTCTTGTACTAACTTGTTTGGTGTGTGCAACAGGAAATATTTTGCTTTCAGAGAACAAGAAAAATAGATTTATTTGCATTATGCTTATTAATTTGTGCAGTTATTCAGTGTCTGGTAAGTTAATGTTCAAGAAAATATTAATTTTTATTAAAATGTTCTATTATTTTATGTTAACAACTAGAGGCCCGATGCACGAAATTTGTGCAAGGGGCTCGGCCCTCACAGCCGTGGCTGCTTGCCTTGGCCCTCGCAGCCACAGTGGCTTGCCTTGGCCCGAGGCAACTGTGGCAGCTGCCTCGGCCCTTGAAGCCCTGACTTCATCCAGAACATCATCTGGAAGGACGTCTGGTCTAATTAGCATATTACACTTTTATTATTATAGATTACTCATTTATTTCAGCCCTTTGTATTCAGCATGTCTCTATCAAAATAAACCTACGTTTCTATGAAAATTGAAGGTTTTGTTTTTTTGCGGCCCACATAAACTTCAACCTTGTTTATTTAGCCTGTGTTAGCCTTTGCGTTTGACATGCTTGGTGTAGGTATTTCAGTTGGGGGTGGGGGTGGCAGTTCTTCAGTGCACACCACTTTTCTCTGTCCACTGTCCCTTAGGAGGGGTCTTGCATGAACGACTGTCCAGCCTTACAGCTCTGTTACTGAAGAATAAGAAAGCTCACTCTCTGTGGTCAAATAGATCCACCTTTCACTTTCACTTTGTTCTGAGAAAATAGTCCTAAATGAAATTCTTTATATAATTTTTCTCCGATTCATAGTAGAGAGTGCCATTGTCAAAGTGACATTAGGATTGTGAAATAGATACACTAAAGAACAATTTTTCTCAGAAAAAGTAAAAGGGCTGATTAATAAGGATAGTTCTTTGAAGGAACTGTTAGAGGAAGTCTTAGTTTTAAAAACATTCTGATAAGTTTTAATGTGCATGTTTATGTTAATGTTGATTAATTTTAAGTTTTTTTTTAATATTTAAAGAAATACAAGAAAAATTTATACACCCCATCACCTTATCACCATGACTTGTGTTTTTTTAATTATTTATGTGTCCACTTATATAACTTTTACAAGAAGAATCTTGTTTAAATTAAAAAGATTAT